GAAGGTCATGTAATTCCGTGTCTGTGGTTAGTAGCTGCGCACAGGGTAATGTCTGTGAAGAATTATGTATCTTCCAATTAAACCACTGAACAGAGCACTCCGTGTCAGAAATCATACTTGATGACTTGCAGAACTGTGTTAGAAAGATTTAAAAGAGAGAACCAGAACACTAACAGACTTCATACTCCATTGTTTTGGCTCCCTGTAACAGAGGGTCTACTTGAATCTTTCCAACTATTCAAAATCTATTAAAAAATACTAATATCGGATGGGTTGGACCAAACCAGCTTCTATAAGGAGACATACCTACCCCGTATAGTCACTGAATAGTCAATGGAGAGAAACAGGCTCTCCCAGACAGTAAGTCATCTGCTGTCTTTCAGATACGTGTTTTAAGGCAAGATGAGTCACCTCTCCTCCTGTGGTGACCGAGCCAAATGTGGCTAGACAGCCTCTCACTTCTATGGCAGTAGAAGTTTGGTAAGATTAATCCCACTCCCCAAGAGTTTTGGTTTTTTTCCTGATGATAGGGTATATTTTGCCTTTGATCTGTTTTGGCAAGTAAAACGTTTTAGAGGGAGCCATCTGCAGCAGTCCTGACTCAGACAAGGTTCACACTGAACTCCAGTTGGAGAACAGGATGAGAAAACACCGCAGGACTTCTCTTTCAGTGAGTGTTCTACTGTTCCTTTTCCTCATTGGAGACATTCCGTTCTACCTTTCCATTCCCTGTAATCACTGGCTAGAGATGATGCCAGCAGACAGTTCGGTATTATCCCCGGGGCCCATGGATTGTCACAATAAATTCTGTGGGAAGACAGTCTTTGATTAATGTCTACTGCAGGAGCTGAAGCCATAGCTCCATAACAGAAAATCACCATCAACTATTGCACTCTGTTCCCTTTATTTGGCAACATAATCATTGCATCATTTCATCTGTAATCATAGAATCATAGAATGGTTTGGGTTGGCAGGGACCTTGAAGATCACCTCGTTCCAACCCCCCTGCCATGGGCAGAGACACCTTTCACTAATGCGAGCAGTTGAGCTGATGCCCAGCAAGGCCGCAGCAGAGCCGAGGGGGCAGGGGGGCTGTCTGTTGCTACCCCAAAAGCTGCTTTCCTGCCTTGGCCCCTTCAAAAGCAGCAGGAGCAACAGGGCCGAGCACAAGCCTTGAAGAGCTGCCGGGAGGCTTGCGGACTCATGGTGCCAGCTGAAGGGAGCGGATCGACCCCATCCCTCCTCCCATTGCTGTTTGTGAAATCCATTCGTTCTGTCTCTCAGCATCCTATGGAGCTTATATTTTAACTTGGCAGCTGTTAAGACTCTCAGTGAAATCAGTTTAGCTGTTTACTAGTACACCCTCCCACCACAGGCAAGAATCTGCACAGCTCAAAAGAGCTTCACAGATAATGTAGACAGGTTGCTGAGCTCCGAGACCTGCCATGACCACGGTGAAAACTGTCCCGAGCTTTGGGTGGTGGGATGGATTTTCACGGATCCAGGAGCTCATCTGGTGTAACAACCGCGAGGGATGTTACTGGCCATGGCCTTCACAGTGTCTGCCAGTGGCACCAGGCTGCTGTTGTGGGCTGCGAACATCCCGAAGTCCGTACGCCCGTTGACTTCATCAAGCTGTGTAACAGGTACACAAGTCTGATCCCTTCCAAAAGCTGTTGGACTTGGTACCGGTGTGCTCGGTCAGCGCAGCGCGTGTGTGCGTAGCCCCAGTGCCGGGGCGAAGGGGCCGGGAACAGCCTGGGCGTTCAGCGCTGGGAACCCTGGGCTGGCTTGCTAACCTGACACGAGCACTGGCCACACGTGTGTCCCGTGGCTCGGAGAGTATTTGTCTCCATACCAAATGAGAGACAACACAGGAACTGTTAGAAGACTACAGGGAAACGTTACAAAAAAAGAGAAGTCAGTCCATCAGCTGTTAGTCAGCACAGTGGCAGCTCTCGCCGCGCTCCATTCTGCCGAGCTTGGGTGGGCTTTGAGGGGGGCAGCGAGGTAGCTCGCGACTGTCAAGGGCCCAGGATGGGAAAGCTCGAGGGACTTCATTTGCAAATCGAACTGAGTGATGAAGATTGCTGTGCTGGGTTGATCAGAGGTAGAAGTTAACGTCTTTTTGCCGGATGAGGAATGTTAAGCTGGCTTGGGGTGTATGCTCGGAAGCAGTTTGAGAAAGGAGGAGGTACACTGATGCCCAGCGTGATTGCGTACACCGGCTGGTTTACATCTGGTAAGCTCTTGCTGGGGCAAACGTCTGCTGGTTTTGGTTGGGATAGAGTTAATTTTCTTCACAGTAGCTAGTGTGAGACTGTGTTTTGGATTTGTGCAAGACTATGCTTTGGATGTGTGCTGAGAAGAATATTGATAGCACTGGTGGGTTTTGTTGTTGCTGAGCAATGTTTGTACCAAGTCAAGGGCTTTCTCAGTTTCTGCTCTTGCTCCTGCCTTCCCAGCTGCTGCTTCTGCAAGGAGCTGGGAGGGGACACAGCCCAGACAGCTGACCCAAACTGACCAAAGGGACATTTTGTGCCATCAAACGTTGTGCTCGGTATATGAGCTGGGGGAGTTGGCTGGGAGGGGCAATCACTGCCGGTTGAGCGTCAGTTGGCCAGGGGTGAGCAGTTCTGTCGGTTTGTCTGCCTTCATTTTTTCTTTTTTTTTTAATTACATATTATTATCAGTAGTGGTATTTTAATTACGTATCAGTAGTATAATTATTTCACTTACTTTCAATTATTAAACTATTCTCATCTCAACCCACAAGTTCTCTTCATCTTTTTCCTCCAAATCTTGCCCCCCTCCTACTGGGGGAGGGAGGGGGAGGTGAGCGAGCGGCTGTGTGGTGTTTGCTTGCTGTCCGGGCCTAAACCCTGACAACATGCCATTTCGTTTTGGACCTCACCTATCCCTTGTGAGGTCAGTGCTGAAACTTTTCTTCCTCTGGCTTCTGCTTTGCCTATATGTTTATTAATTTGAATGACCCTTGTCTGTGGTACAAGGATCCGCACAGCATGGGTCGGTGGCAGGATGAGGCCTCCAGTGGTTCATGCCCGGCATAGATATTCAGACTGCTTCCTCTCCAGAATTTACATGGGATGGATGTTTCCTGGTCTTTATAACTTGCTTTAAAGAAAATTAATGTGAATTCTTGCAAGCAGAGTCTCCTTTCTTCAGCAGGGCCGTACTTAATAAACCTATTGCTATCACACTCAACACATTCTGCACAAAAGCATGATTTAATATGTCTTTTCAATGGCGATTTCTTACGCCGCTTGCCCCGTTGTATCAGTAAACATGTTGATGAGAGCGTAGCTGTCTTCTGCAATTTAGCAAGTTCACCCCTGTGTAAAAACCCAGTTCTTGTGAGGCATAGCAGAGACATGGTGAGTAGTGGTGAGCTGGGCTTCTGCGAACGAACTGACATCGTTTCGCAGAGCACTGCAGCCGGATTTTCTCACTTTGGCATAATAGCCCCACGTAATTCTCCTTGCCTAGCTTTGAGTTACCTTTCTGACAGCATCTAGATGAGGCACTAGATTTGTTTCTGACTGATTGAGGCCAAGTAGGTCGCAAATCGTGCTGTCACATCTGGGGTTTCATGAGTTTGCAGCTCTGTAAGATTACTTCACCTCTATGAACTGACAGGCTGAATCATACGTTTGTTGGAAAGACCAGGTTTGACAAAATCAGATTTTCTATTTATTGGTTTTATCTGATTTAATAATTTTAAAGTCAAAAATATCTTCTCTGAGTATAGTGGAACTGCATAAATGACCCAATTACATTTCCAGTAGAGTTTAATAATGTACATTGCATTTCACACTTTCACGGAAGGCATATCAGTTTAATTAGAAAAATAAAGCACAAAGTATGGCTTGTTCCCTTCTCCCAGTGTGGAACCTCAGTGCTTTAAAAAGTCTAGAAATGTTCCTTTGCTTTAAAAATACTATTTTATGTAATCAAAGGGTTTGGCTGTGTATTTGGGTCTGGGTTCTCCTTGTTGCTGTTATTCTTCACGAATCAGCCCAGCTCCCTTCCAGTCCTCAGCCTGTCATTTCTTTTGTACATCATGTTTTCCACTGGCTGAATGTGTCATGCCTCATCCAGTCAGTTGTCCAAGGTTGATTTTTCATGGCTGTGATTGTACATCTTGCTGCCCATGAGATGATTCATATAGCCCTGGAAGTCATACACCCCTCTTAATAGCATGGAGAGCTAGTGCCTTCTCTCTTCCTAGTGAAAGTTATCCCACCGGTATTCTTTAGTCAGAGGCTGGAGTGAAAACTTGTTGGGGCAAACATAGTAGTAATAGCGATCCTGGGCAGAAGATAGCTTAGGAATGGTAGTAATACGGAAGCGAGGGCTCTTGTGAGTGGAAGCTCTTCTCTGTGTGTAGTTTTGGAGGCAACTGTCTGATGTACTTGTACTGAACAGACCATCTCCCATCTTTCAGGGGAGATGTAACATGCTGCTTGGCTAGTTTTCACTTCCTTACCCAGGATATTTTCATACAAGGGAATTACCAAAATCCAGGAATAGGAGGGTTGTTCGGGGCTTTTTAAAACATTATTGTAACATTCCTGTGACATGACACGGTAACAGCTGTTTCTTCGATGACATCCTGCAGGCAGTGTCTGTGTGAAAAGAAAACCACAGAACGATGAAAAAATTCACACTGTTTGATTTTGTAAATGATAACTCACTGCAAATCGGAGAAACTTCATGGATACAGGACCTTCCCAGTGATGGTGATGAACTAGAAAGACTTCTGAAACCAAATGAGCATGTGCTAGTAAACTGGCCTGTGGGGGAAAGGAAGACAGAAAAGCACCTGGTGAAAGTTGTGTACATGAGTGGTGAGTACAGTTCCAGAGCATTTGGCTGATACGAAATTTTAATGTAGTTGTAAGGTGTTGCTATCTGATTTTCTGTGCTTTGGCCTGTTTTTCTACATCATTTCAGATGACCCCCAAGAGCTGGTGGAAATGATGCAAAAGATACTACAAGCGGATGAAATTACAAAAATACAAGTCCTTGGAAAAGGCAAGAGGAAGAGGATAGAAATGATGTTCTCAGAGAGCGAAGACAGTGACCTGGATAAAGAACAGGTGAGTTTCTGTCTTGATGTGCCTGATACGGGTAGGCCCGTAATGGAATGAAATAGACTGTGACTATTGATTCTTCACCATATAATACAGAAAATACTTACAGTAGAGGTAGGAATACAGGCAAATTTCACATGATACCTCAGCACCATAACTTGTCAGAGTAATAAATTAGGCCAATAGATTTTATCCTTTGTTTTTTAAAGAGAGAGGTGTTACTCAAGACTTGGGTGCTCTGTAGCTCCACTACATTTTCTTCTGTAAGACAGAAATGTGACAACTGTGTAAGGAAGGGAGGGAGGGGACCGGGTTTTCCAAGTCTTGCGTTGTGCCAAGATCTCCAGTGACTGAATGTGGGGAAAGAAAACCTCCATCGTAACAAACAGAAACATATTTTTCAAAAATGCTAACCAAGAATGTCAAGTGCTCAGTGAATAAAGGTTTCTGGTATTCCGTGAGATACTGTAATGAAAGGCTCTGTAGGAATGCAAAGGTGCTGTTATGCTCTGGTTTACAGGGGAGGATGATGAAGCATATCAAAAGAAGGAAATCCTTACAGGCATCTGCTCCTGCCAACATCCTGAGTCAACTTGAAACATCTTTAATTAACAAACAGGTAAACATCTCATCTGCGACAATTTTAATGTATTAACCAAAAGCAAACTGAAACGTATGTGTTTGGAGGGGAATAAGACTCTTGTTGTAGTGAAGTTAACAGTTCTGAAAGACACTAGCTTAGAAAATTGGTGGAGAACAAAGAGAGAAGTACCTAATGGTTATTTATTGCCTGACATTTCATTTGAATTTTAATACAAAGGGTAATATCTGAATTGAAAGCGGGGAGGTTTAGATTAGATATCAGGAAGAAGTTGTTCATGGAACAATGGGTGGTGTGGCACTGGAACAGGTTGCCCAGAGAAGCTGTGGATGCCCCATCCCTGGAAGTGTTCAAGGCCAGGCTGGATGTGGCTTTGAGCAACCTGGTCTAGTGGAAGGTGTCCCTGCCCATGACAGGGGGGTTGGAACTAGATGGTCTTTAAGGTCCTTTCCAACCCAAACCATTCCGTAATTCTATGATTCTATGATCTGTGTTGAGTAACAGCTATTATTAAAATGCACTGAGTCTGTTTATACAGTCTGTGTACAAAGAGAATATTCTGATTTAGCCTGATATTTTAAGGTTGGTTTTAATTCTTAAATTTTACGTTATTGTTGCACGTTTTGGATTTTTGTGGTAGCACATTTTGGAGTTTTCTTTTTTTTCCCAGAAAGAAACATATTCAGGAAGCCACTTTCTGTACAGTGAAAGCAGCAGTGATGATGAAGAGCCGTTATTTCAACTATCCAAGGTAGAACTGTGTGCCAAAATAAAAAGTCTCAAGAGGAAGCTGACAGACACCATGAGAGAAAACTGTCGCTTAAGGCAGTCCCTGGTGATGCTTCAAGGTAAAGTCAGGGGAATTATTTTGTTGAAGAGGAAAGGCTGAAGGTCGTGAAGGGCCTGTTGTGACAGGACAAGGGGGAATGGGTTTAAATTGAAAGTGGGGTGGTTTAGATTGGATATCAGGAACAAGTTCTTCCTGGAGAGGGTGGTGAGGCACTGGGAACAGGTTGCCCAGAGAAGCTGTGGATGCCCCATCCCTGGAAGTGTTCAAGGCCAGGCTGGATGTGGCTTTGAGCAACCTGGTCTAGTGGAAGGTGTCCCTGCCCATGGCAGGGGGGTTGGAACTGGATGGTCTTTAAGGTTCCTTCCAACCCAAACCATTCTGTGATTCTGTGATTCTGTGAAAAACTTGATTTATTAGAGGCTATTTGGATGGGAATTATAGATGCTCAAGCACCTGACACGATCAAGGCCTTACCATAAGCATCAAAGTCTTTGATACCTGGCAACATTAAATTCCAGCAGCACTTAGAAAAAAACCTCTTACACAGAGGCCATGCAATCGTAGAGCTACAGATGGAAAAATCTGTCTAAATCCTGTCTGTCATTCCCAAGAGAACCTTTCTGTATGCCCTGTATAACCATTGGCTAAGCTCAAACACTCTACTGACCAGTCCTGCTAATGTTATTTATTAAGATTAATTTTTCTTATTATTAATTCTTCTTATTATTCCTGCTCTACTGAAATTTTTCTTTATTCTGGAATGATTTCATGTCTGGTTACTTTAGCAATTCCTCATTATTGATAAACTGAGTCACTTCCAGGTACAACAAATTTAGTCCTTTCCCAGAGATGAACCATTTTGTTCTTTTATAAATCAAGCCTTTGTCACACAGTGATCATCTCTGAAGCTCCTCTTACTTGTCCTTTAGTCTGAGGCAGCCAAGGCTGAATCCAAAATTTCAAAGCATTAGTAAATAAATAAGTTGTAAAGGGGATTTGCTACTTCTTGCCAGCTATGTCATACCATCCCCAGACAGACTGGTATCTCTCTTTCTATTGTCATATGAATTTGCAAGTGCTTATCGATTTCATTGCCCACTTGATTCTGTTTTGTATGTTATTCATCCTGGTTTGAATCATTCATATCCACTTTTATGAATATTATTTTTAAACATCCTGTTAGTGTCCAACAACTTCTTTTTTTACCCATTTAGGTCCATTTGCGTTACATCTTAGGCACTTCTACTGGTCTTCAACAATATTTTTTAATAATTCAGTGATTCTGCATGTTGCTGTTTCTTCAGCCCTTGCATCCTTTTTGCTCTGATAAATTGATTTTTCTTAACAGACAATAAAAACTTTTATTTGAAAATAAATATTAATTGGAAAAGGGCCCCTAGAAGATATTCTCTACAGATTAAAAAAGAAGGAAAAAGGTTTATGCAGTCTATGTAACATCTTTGAAGAAGAGAAAAATATCAGACATAACATTACTTAGCCCATATTCAATAGCTTTACAGACTTGCAGAGATTTTGAGATAGCAAAAAGAAAAAGGAAATAACCAGCTCAGTACCATGATGGGTGTAAACTAACAGTTCCTCTTAGCCTTGCAGAGAACTGACGTATCCTGTTCTAAAAACAGAGGTCACATCTTCATGGGTGGGACAACAGAATGGCAGGAAAAACTTTGAGAGAATAGAGAAAAAAATAGTCTGCTAAAGCATTTTTGCTGACTGCGTGGACTCTTCTGCAGTACAGTGGGAATCTAATTACAGGAATATACATCCTTATGTAACTGGAGTCAGAAAGCTTCAATTACCTTTACCCATCGCTTTCCATTTGATTCCAGTGTTGCCACAGGCAGTCACCCATTTTGAGGAACTGGTAGGGATGGCTGAAGCGCTGCTGAAAGGGGGAGTGACATCATCTACGGCCAGTCTGCATTCGCATGCCGTTTGGAAAGCAGCTAACAACTCGTTAGCAGATTCATATGCAGCTGTGCACAGTAACTCCACCTCACCAATAACACTGAATGTGGAAGATGAGGAGCAACAGGCTGAAAAACAGGTCAGTTAAAAGGGAATTTCAGGCATAACAATTAAAACTTCATACTGTATAAACTTTACTGTTACAGTATAACAAATATAAAAAAGTGTCAGTAAAAATCATTTTATCGTCGTTCAGTTGATGATGTGGCTAATGAGCTCCTTTTGTGCAGAATGCTCTCTGCCTGAGAAACACGAGACTCCATTCAGTGTGCTGGTGCACTCTCAAACTCACTTTGGTATCGGTGGCGAAGGGCAGAATGAGGATGTGTGAAGAAAATGCTGAGATTTAGGGATAACTTCCAGCCTAATGTTTTGGATGCTAAAGGGGAATGGTAGTGTTTCAGAGATAACCTAAGGAAAACACCAGCAGTCTGTTTAACCTGTTAATAAATAAATAAATGGAGAGTGGTACATTTCTGCTCTTGTTCCAGACACTGGCCAGCAGTTAAATAGAAATGACATAAATACAGATTCTGAGTAAAGATGTTCCCCTATTCTCTGTAATTATAACAGAGCATAATGGAGAAATCTCAGGCACAGAGGCCGTACATGAAAAATACAGAGACCAAACCCAAAGAATAACTAAAAGAATAATTCTGCTTGTGCATTTGCAGTTTACATAAACATTCTTATGCACTGAGTCATGTCAGTCATGGAAATCATTCTCCGGTGTTGTCATGGGGTCCTAAAAACTAAATAAATTTATTACAAATTATCAAGGTATGATGTTTGACTAAATATTGCAATACAGAAAAATTGACTTAACATCTCCAAAGAAATAAAAAGACCTAATTTTCTAAGCAACCTAGCCTCACCTAATGGAGGTGGCTCAAAATTGCCTGTTGGGGGAGTTCAAATACTTAGGCTGTGTGCAGAAGTTGCTCCCAAAGCCCAGGGCCAGATGTCACAGTTCTTTGGGCGTGTCTGCTCGGAGGCAGGAATATTAGCTTGGGCATGGTGCCACGCTCCCAAGGCTGTACAGAACCCATGCCAGAACTGGGCCACAGCCAGCCTGCATGGAGTACAAGCAGAAGGAATTGGATAGGTCTGGACACGTCGTGTTTCCACTAGTGAGTAATAAGGATCGCTGGGTGAAGTGTTTGCTAGGATGGATAGGGTCCTTAGTCTGCCCCACGGTCGCTTCTGCAAAAAAAATCAACCTGCGTGTATAGTCCCAGACAGGGAGTGGAAGTGCAAGTTGAGTGCTGATCTCAAACACGCAGTTTGCAGAGATGGCTTTGGAAATTCTGGCTTAAGAGGAAGAAAATTGAAAAGATATTTCAGAAGTAATACTATATAATATTTCTAGAGAACTGCAATAGTTATGCCTTTGACCAATTTTGTTTTCCAGTTCAAGATCGAAAAGTGGCAGATTGCACTTTGTAACAAGAGCAAACCTCAAAAGTTTATAAATGACTTGATGCAAGCACTTTATACACACGAATACATGGCTACACACAGCCTGACAGGTGCAAAGTCCTCCTCTTCAAAGGATAAAGCGGCAAAACCAGCCATGAATCAGAATGAAGTTCAGGAAATCATAGGTGATGACTTGTTAACATTACTCGATGTGGCACTGACGTGACAGAGGGCTGTCTCTGAGGGAGGGGCTGTAATGCTTAACAGCTGGTCTGCTCAAGGGATGTGCTGTTTCAGATTTCCTTCTTCGGCTACGTACTTTTTGTAAACCATCTGTTACAAATACTGTCAGAAATGCAAAGCAGTAGTATTTCTATTGTGTGAGTTTTGTGGGGTTTCTTTAAGTGGCTGCTCAGGCACAGTGGTGCTGTCCATTTTTTTTTTTTAGCCTTCAAAAGGTTAATCTACAACAGTCAAACCTGGAGCATGATGATAATGGATAAGGGAGGGCAAAGAGAGGACATATTGGCTCAAATTTAAAATTGTATCTGCTCAATTCTGAAGTTAGTGAATGTTATGAATTCTGACATTTTCAATAGCGCTGGAGACAAAAGGAGACAGTAAGTGTGGAAGACAGGAATAAGGATCACAGGACCCAACAAAATCTGTTTCATACTGCGGTTTAAGGCAGAAAATGTTTGGTGCATAGAAAAAAGAATCATTTCAGAGGGAATAGCCATTTTAAAGAACATGGTATTTTGTGAGCACATGAAGCCTGATTTTTATCGGATTCACAGCTATAACTTACTACTTGAACACCAAAGCCTAAATTCTGGTACTAGGATCCCTCCCCCACTGCCATTCCCTTGGACTTCCCCAGTTCTTTCAGTTCCCTTCCCATCTGAGCTGCAGTTCCTGCACCTTGAAAACAAAGCTGTACTGGTTTTGTTGAAGTTGGCCAGCAGTTTCCAAAGCTTTCAGTTGCAGAAACATCTTTTCCTTAGAAACCTAGCTAGAGAAAAAGGCCTGAAGTAAATGGAAAGGAGTGTGTAAAACGGTGAAAATATATTTAAGGGCGGTAAGATGAAACAATTTCAGAATGATGTATGAAAAAAATTTAAAAGATTTAATGGGATGAGGAGAAGGTTGGATTCGATGATCTTAATGGTCTTTTCCTACCTAAATGATTCTATGATTCTAAGAGCTCCTGGTGACCTTTCTAAAGGTGGATTCTGGGGAAGAGTCTGGGCAAAACTGAAAAGAGAAGCAGAGAAGACAGTCAGAACATAGAATACAGCATGCTGCAGAGAATTCAGTGGAAAGGGAGCCTATGGAGAAGTCAGAGAAGTCTTTTAAGGGAAATGAGAACACTCCTGAATTCAAATGGAAAAGTGTCAGCATTACGGAAGAGAAAAATTACAATGAGAAGTAACCCTGGGAGTTCTAGGACTATAGAAAATGAGTTAGTAGATCAAATTATTTAAAGAAGATGGAAACTAAGATTTTAAAATGAAATTAAAGGGGGCAAAAATCAAGGGAAGCTGATGAAGAGGGTTGTAGGAATTGCATTCCTGATGTTGAGTCCTGTCAGTATTGCATTCAAATCCATTAGCCAGGCAAAACAGAAGGGAATTTTTAAGGAAGGAGACATCAGATAAGAATTAATGAACAAAAACTGTAAGATTCAGAAGCATGAGGACTGACAAGGATAGGAAAAGGACTCTTTGATCAAGAACAGAGCAAAGGGGGAGAGGATGGGCAAACACAAATCACTACAGGAAGGCCTTGTGTCCCTGGAGTTCTCTGTGAGCCTGCCAAGAGTAGGCACAGCATTATGGAAGGCACAGAGAAAACCGAGAGCTTGCACGTGCAAACCCTATGAAGTAGTGTGTGTAGACAGAAAAGTAACTAGAGCTGAAGCTGAAGTAGCTGGAAATTTCAGAGGTCCAAGAAATGCATTTTAGATCACACATCTGTTGTTTCCCTGATTTGGAGGACTGAGATGTATCATCTCTTTATTTTGCAGGAATCACAAAACAGTTGTTTCCAAACACAGATGATGCTTTAATTAGGCGAATGATGGGACAAAAACTGAACAATTGCACCAAGAAGCCAATTTTAAGCAAAGATCTTAACTCAGGTGCTTTTCAGAAGCATAGCTTTTGGTAAGTCTTAAAAAAAAATAAATTGTAGCCTGCACTGTGTAGTTCCATATATTTCCTGTGGTAACAAAATCTATAACCAGCCTTAAAATTATTAGGAAGATATGTGTTCGTATAAGCATTAGCAAGTAAGTAAATGTTTTTGTAACCTTGTACAAAACGTATGTAATACAGAAACAGTCCAGCTTAACATTACAGCACAAAGCAAGTTGTTAATTCCAGACAAAGCAGCACAAGGCTATTAAGTTGCAGGAAAAGAATACACATGGAGTTAGTTTGATCAATATGTCTGGTTTCGATTTGGCATTATTTACTTTTCTTATTCTCAGTAAGCTCTCCAGAGACCAGTCAATTCCCTTTTCATGTCACCTGTTGTGCCTCACTTAGCCTGCAAGTAAAGATAAGATAAATCACACCTCTTCCTTACCTACTGATAAAAGTACCATAGGAGAGATAAATTAGCAATCTTTTACCACCAGAAGTCTAAATTATTGGGACAGAGGAATTATCAAATAACATCTTGCATACTATGAGCGTTCTTACCTTGTGAACAAGACTAGTCTAAAATTGCTGAACTCAGTATTGGAGTACTGTGTCCAGCTCTGGGATCCTCAACATAAGAATGATCTCAACCAGTTGGAGTGAGTCCAGAGGAGGCCATGAAGATGCTCAGGGGGCTGGAGCACCTCTGCTATGGGGACAGGCTGAGAGAACTGGGCTTGTTCAGCCTGGAGAAGAGAAGGCTCCGGGGAGACCTTATTGCAGCCTTCCAGCACCTGAAGGGGCTTCAAGGAAGCTGGGGGGGCCTTTTTACAAGGGCCTGTAGTGACAGGACAAGGGGGAACGGGTTTAAATTGAAAGCAGGGATGTTTAGATTAGATATCAGGAAGAAGTTCTTCACAGAGAGGGTGGTGAGGCACTGGAACAGGTTGCCCAGAGATGTTGTGGATGCCCCATCCCTGGAAGTGTTCAAGGCCAGGCTGGATGAGGCTTTGAGCAACCTGGTCTAGTGGAAGGTGTCCCTGCCCATGGCAGAGGGGTTGGAACTAGATGGTCTTTAAGGTCCCTTCCAACCCAAACCATTCTGTGATCCATGTCATTGGTGAAGTCAGCTGTTTGCACAGTACTGTTTCCACATACACCAAATGTACATATCACAGAATAGTTGAGGTTGGGACAGACCTCTGTGTGTTGGCTATTCCAACCCCTGCTGACAAAAGCAGGGTCACCTAAATCAGGTTGCTCAGACCCATGTACGGTTTCAGTGGGTATCTCCAGAGATGGGGACTCCACAACCTCTCTGGGCAAACTGTGCCAGTGCTCAGTCACCCTCACAGTGAAAAGGTGTTTCCCGCTGTTGAGATAGCACCTCCCATGTTTCAGTTTGTTCTGCCCCGGGGCACCACTGAGAAGAGGCTCCAGCTTCTTTGCACCCCCTCAGGAGATATTAATACACATAGATCAGAGCCGCTTGAGCCTTCTTGAGGCTAAACAGTCCAGCTCTCTCAGGCTCTTCTCCGGAACAGGATAAGAGATTAACAAGGAACAGGATAAGAGATTAAAGTCAACGACACAGGGAGAACAGGTTTGTCCTTACTTAGACCTTCCATCCTGAATATTTTACTTCTTCCCAGTTCAATTGTCTCATGCATGTTTTAAAATCCCTGTTTGCAACCATAACACACTCCATAACAAGAAGAAAAAAAGCACCCCAAGATTGGGCTATGTTATAACATAATTGTTTGAAAAATAGCAGTGCTTTGCTACTAAAATTGCTCTCTAAGCCACCTGGCAGTACTCTGCGGACCACCAGTGGTCTGTAAATTACTACTTGAGAAATACTCTTGGAAGAATCCACATACACACGTTTTCCCATCTGGAAACAATAAACAAACGCACCAGCCTGGCTAAAATAGAGTTTACTATGTTAATGCTTTTCTTCTAGAGATGAGAGGGCTTTGTAAAACAAAGGTCCTCTGTACTTGTAACACACAGTGTGCATTGATTCACTGTAGTATTTTTCCTTGGCCTTGACACAGGTGGTAAAAATAAAAGCGCAGACTCTGTCTTCTTGGAAAGTATTCAATCTTCAATATTTTATATTTTAAATCTTCATCAGATGAATCCCTAAACCTTGCTAATTCCTGAGTCTTCTTGTGTATGCAGTGTTCCTGAAGCTTTGATGGGAGCATCTTGAGCTAGCACTTTAACAATTCTGGGTGTTTTTTTCATACTGCCTATAGACCTTTCAATTTAAACTTGGTATCTTAAAAATGTCTTTCTGTCTGTTATTGATTAGTGCTTATGTAAAATCCAGTCCAACATCCACTGAAACCAGTCCAGATATTGCAAGTTTCTTTTGAATGGATGCATATTAGACTGCATTTATAATGGATTCATTTTACATCTGCTCAGAATTTCCCCACTGTAAAAGCAATTAAGCACCTTGGAAGTAATCAAGATACCAGTGGTGATTCCTTTAACTAAGATGACACACATTTTCTCTGTAAGAAAATTGGGAGAATTTTAAAGTGCTTACGATTTCGTTGTTACTCCTTCAGTTCGCCTTCCAGCAATGAAGTACAGAGAGGGGACAAGAGAAAATCCCATTGTGCAGTACCTCTAGTAACAACTTACACACAAATTAGTAACTTAAAACTGGTGATACTGCAGTTTTGATCTCCCTTGCTCTCCTACTTCTTGCCCACCTCCTCCACTTTTCCCCAGAATACAATTACAATTCAAGAGAAAGAGTTTGCGGTCAAATCCAACGAGACAGACAGGTCACCATCTCTGATCTTTAAGACTGAGGTGGAACAAGGAAAAGGGGACTGTGTCAATCAAGAAAACTAGTTAACCAGCTAATAAACAAACTGCTGCTAATAAACTAAGAACAGTAGTCACTGCATATTTAATGTTAGTATCTGAAGCTTATTTATAAATTGTCTCAACAGTGGTTCAGAAATCTCTTCAGCTGTTCCTCCCAGTACGGGGGACCAGCAGGATGATGATTCACCAGCTGCTAATGCACAGATTCAGCAGAGTGACAGCCGTCTGTCTCCTCCACCTCCCACCCCGCAAGCTCAGCAGGAGTGTTTCAAGCCCACTTCTTCGAAGGTGGAGTCTCAGCTCACCAGAAGCTCACCAGCGCCCTCTCCCAACCAGGGTTGCGGACAGGATCTCAGGAATTCACACAAGGATTAACAGGAGGTATTTCATACCAGTTCACATTCTCAGCGGAGATTAAGGAGTAGTATAGAATAAAAAAAGAAGTAAGATCTAAATGGGCCTACTGACAGTGGACAGAGATACTGCAAGCAGAATAGAAGCCTGAGAACCATTTTCTCAAGCAAATGAAAATCCCACAGCCTAGAAAAAATTGAAGGCATATTAATATCTTTGGCTTTAAGATATTATTAAATATATGCATGTTATGCGGTAATTCAAAAAATATAAACTTGTTCTGAAGAATAGAAGTAGAGTTCCCCTTAGTTAGAAAGAATGTATGAGAGGAACTTCAATCCCCTTGCTTTCACCTTGACAGCTGATGGAAAACCGCTTTACCCATCAGAGAAAGCTAATGCATATTAATACAAAAAAGATATAGAGGTATGAAAAGGGAATAGAAAAATTTCCTAGTGAAATGAAGACCATGGCCAGCATGGAGTTACAGAGCACAGGGCCACATGAGCAGAGAGGAAGAAATAAAATTTAAGGGTGCTGTTAACTTGAAAAGAAGAAAACATCCTTAGGGCAATGAAACTGCAGCTCTCAAGATGCCTGTGGGAAAAAGCAGCTCATTTTTAACCTCTAAAAGTTGGCAAGTCAGTGAAAGAAGCCATGTTCCCTCTTTGCTCAGGGAAGAGTCCTCCAGGATAGCCTATTTGGTTGTGGAGGCTGTGGCTTCTCTCACAGGCCTTCTGCTGCTGGTTTGGCAGCTCCCACTCTTCTTTCCTGCACATCAAGTCCATAGGATAAAGGTGCCTGATCCCTCCAGCTGGGAAACAGAGGACAGTCTGTTGGAAGGAACTAGTAAAGGGTTGAGTTGCCAGGCTCTACTCCCTGTGTTTCGATTTTGGTGTGCTACCTCTTGCTCAGAGAGAGGGTGGGCAGGTAAAGCATTCCTCATGGGACTGGGACCAGAAAAATTCCTGAACTGGGCAGTTCCTCTTGAGATCTGACACCACTTGTCCCAGGGAGCAGCGGGCAGCCTTACACCCTGTAATTGCCTGAGGAGGAGGAGGAGGGAAGGTATGGTTTTTTTCCTTGCTGACTGATTCCAGGTTTACAGTGTGCCAGTCGTATGGGAATGAGAGAACACTTGGATTATAGCTTTCTTGCTTGACTGTACTTCTCCCACACCAGAGAGTACTAATAGTTAAATCTATTTCATATGTGGCAAACAGGCAACTAAGAAATCAAGATTAAAAAAATCCAAACATAAAGTTGAAGAAATTTAGCTTGATTTGAGGAGGATTTCTCTAACTCAGGAGATCTGAGTTACAGAAATAAATTAGAAATAGTATTAGAGTGAATGCTGGGAAAAAAATCTGAAGGTATCTTCAAAGGTTAGCAGCAAAATACTTCTGAAGGGAAGCGCTGCAAACCTGACTGCACTAGAGCAATGCACTAATAAAATGCACTGTGGAGAAGACGTTTCTGTGGGCTGGGGTGTGAATTCAGTGATCTGCTAGCCTTTTTCATCTCTCATGTCTATCAATTCCTTGTAGGCGAGGTCAGGGTGCAAGCAGATATGAAATGTGATGTAAGCTCTATCTTGCATTATTAACACCCCTCTCTAAAACGGAACAGAAGGGTGTTTGCTATTATGTACATTTTGTATATGTAATTGTATGTACAGCATAGATGAATGTATATAGGTAATCATATTTTTCAAGCAACTTTCTATCAAATAAAATGAAACATTATTAAGTCTTAGTTCTGTTTTATTGTCACTTACTGTTTTCTGGGCCTCATCAGCCTCTCTTGTATGCTTTTAACATGTCAGGTTGGGGTTTCTTCTCTTGCTCGCTTATTTGTTTCTCTTTTTCTTTGATAACTTGTGAAGCTACCTTCTGTAATGCTGGTGATTCTTAGCTGGAGCGGGGCTTAGCCCACCTTACAAGGGCTCCCTAGCCTTTACGTCATCACAGCTGCTTTGCTGTTGGGGAGGTGCACTTGGGCAGGTACACGGAGCCGAACACGAGCGGCTGCTCTCCCTGGCGCTGGTGCAGCACTGCAGATCACGCTGGACGATGTGCCTTTCTATTCTGCTGACCAGGTAAGTTGTCAGAGGAAAAGCAGTGGGGCTGGCAGCTCACCACAAAGAGGATTTTCATGGTAGGGTGAAGGTCCTACTCCCATACATGGGCCAGGGACAGAGATGGGTGTTCTGGACAAAAAGAACAACACAGTGAGCGAGACATTGTTTTACCAAAAGGTAAAGAAGGAGCAAGCTGCAAAGAGCCAGTTCCTTCCTCTCTCCTAAAGTATAGGAATGATGTTATCCCACTGGATAAAAGAAGATAAATAGCATTTACACAACTACCCAGGTAACAGAACAGCCATACTCCTTGCAGTATGACCTAAAAGGGAGAAAACACAACTGGTTTTCCAAAAATGACTCTGACAAACTCTGAGAACCCAAAATTGAAGACCAGATGATCACAGATTAGAAACTTCAGAAGAGAAAGGGATAGGAGAGCAGAACAGTCTAATGCTGCTTCTCCCAAAACCTGCACTAAAATCAAAACTAATCGGTGATGTGTAGATGTGTGGTGTCGTGAAGTGTTGAAGTCTTCTGGTACGAGTGACAGAGGACACATTGTTTGCACTACTCAGAGCTGGAGAAGGCTGCTGCAGAAAAAACAAACAGCTATGTGACTACAGCATTTAGTTCTGAACAGACAAGCAATACTAAAACTAATCATTCAAATTATTTGTTTCTACTACTGCATTTTAGATTGAATTTGAAGATTACTATGGGATAGAACCTGGTCATTGTTTATTATGAACTGCTCAGTAAGAACACTTGCTGTCTAAGGAGGGAAGAATATTGAGATGTATGAAGAATGGGATAAAAAACTTACTGAAAAAATATACTATTGAATAAATCAGGGCTTTTAATGCATGTCAAGTTCATGTCATGTCCCCTTTTATTATGGCTTATAGACAGGAGTCAAAAAAGCCCCAAACCACCAGACATCTAAATTTCCTATATCAAGTAGCAATACGCAGAAATCAGTGGTTGCAAAGGCAGTTTCACTCACTTTGGAGTTAGAAGAGAAACAAGGATGTTGAAATACGTTTAAATACCATAAAAGACAATAATTAAGGTCACATATTGAACATGTGGCATTAGTTGCTAGAGAGCATTACTGAGTTTATAAAGACAGTCTGCTCAGAAAGAGCTTACACAACCCACGTGATACCCAGACTTCACTGGAGACTTGGAGCTCTCAGCTAACGAAGGGCAGAGCGTGAGTACCCCCTACTCTCCCAGGTTTGTCTGCTCCTACTTTTGGCAATCTACTGCCTGCTTTTAAAAAAGGATTGCCTACTCTTACCAAGTTAGACTGTGAATGTGCCTTGCAGGTGGCCCACCAGCCAAGAGGTCCCCCAGGCTACCTCTTTTTCTCTATGAAACAAACTCTGCATAAAAACTTTCCTAAGCTAACTAAACTGGGAAGCCTGTGCTTTCCCCAGAATTAGCTGAAATACACAGATTTTGGAATTCAGAGTTTTGTTAGCACAATGGAAATGCTGACATTGCAGGGCAATTCCCTTACTTTTTATTTTTCTTTAACTGCATTATTTAAATGACAATGAAGTTTGGATGGCTCATTGCAAGAGTAAACATTTACATTAATTACTGCTGAAAAACTCGTATTCAAATGAGTGTCATTTTCAGAGGGTATCAGAGTTTGCAAAAATAATGCTGCCTTGCTGTTCCAGTAACTCGTTACTATTGCACCTCACACTGTCTATTCTCAAGAATCAAAAGGAATTAAGTGTAAATATAAGCTACAAACAGAATGGCTACTATCAACGTTCTGTTATCATATTTAAGTTATAAGTGCAAAGTATGAATGTTTAGGTGGCAACAATTTAATTTGTTAATTTAACTTTTTTAATTTAATTTAATTTTCCAAGTGGTAGTCAGATTTTGATTATTTTAATAATGAAATAAAACTGCTCAAATCAGTGTTGTTTATACGGTCCAGCAACAGGAATTAAGTAGCACAAATTTATTAATGAGTATATAACTGGTATGTATAACTAGTATCTCAGCATGTCTACTATCATAAAGCTATTTTTTCATTCAAACTAACATCAGTGATAGTAAACCTGTGTTCACAAGAAAAATAAGTGACCTAAATTAATGCTGACATTAAATACCAGGTGAGATGTCATTGCTGATATTTGCTCATTCACAAAGCTCCCAAGGCATCAAACTTTAACATGCAACCCCGAATTCTTTCTCTCCTGTGTATACAGGATTCGGTAAGCACACACCAGTGAAGTGCTTTGGTTGCGTGCAAGCAGCTCCTTTTATACAGACACAAAACATAGGGCCCAAGCGATGTGTCGGGGTTTAACCTCCGTCAGCAAACAAGCACCACACAGATGCTCACTCACCTCCCTCCTCCCCCAGTGGGATGGGAGAGAGAATCAAAGGAAAAAGATAAGAGAACTTGTGGGTTGAGATAAGGATAGTTTAATGATTGAAAATAAATAAGATAATGATGCTAATAATACTATTTATAATAATAACATTTAATTAAAATAACACTAATTATATGTCTGTGGAAAAAAAAGGGAAAAGAGAAGGAAAAAAAAAAGATACACCTGCTCACCACCAGCCAACCAACACCCAGCCAGTCCCTGAGCAGCGACTGCCCCTCCTGGCCAACTGTCCCAGCTTATATACCAAGGATGATGTTTGATGGCATGAAATACCCCTTTGGCCAGTTTGGGTTAGCTGTCCAGGCTGTGTCCCCTCACAGCCTCTTGTAAAGAAGGAGCTGGAAACACAGGTGCAGGATCAGAAACTGGAAATGTCCTTGAGTTGATATAAACATTGCTTAGCAACAACTAAAAACATTAGTATGTTATCAGTATTCTTCTCAGCACACATCCAAAACATAGCCTCACACTAGCTGTGTAAGGAAGATTAACTCTGTCCCAACTGAAACCAGCACATG